TACAATTCTTCAGTTACACAGTGTTATTATTATTGTGCGAGAACAATGTAATCCAAAATGTAGCCAAAGAGATCGAGTCAAGTCAGTTAATTAATATACTAAAAACCTCCGAAGTGTAACACTCAGTGTTCTGAAAATGCGCGATTATTACGCCCAAACATATGTACATACATACATATAGGTCAAAGTGAGAACTTCGTTCATTTTTAAAGTCGATAAATACCTTTATTTCAAGTTTCATAGTCATCAACTACAGATTACCAATCGAACGCTTCAACAGATTTAATAATTAAACTTTACCTACAGTTTAATCAGTAATATATCCACTCATCATTTAACAAATCAAACAACTAATTGTGGATTAGCTGCAAATTTTCACTAATATCAAATACTCAACCGTCAATTTGTTCAGCAATTAATTACGGTGGTTTCCATAATGTGTTTGTGGTAGTACAGCTACTGGAAAGCAAATATATATCCTGTTATATGTTACGTGTGCAATTAGATATGGAGAATTATAATATTGTAGGTGAGTTGTAGTGGCCCGGAGGTGTAAACGCCCGTTTCGGTCAACGACAAGTACCGATGTGACATTTCCCAAATTATATATACTTTCTAAGATTACTTAGACATCATTGACAAACGGTAAAAACATCATGAAGAAACCTGGGGTTGTAATTTCTAATTATAAGTTTGAAATCGTGTGATTAACCCTCAAACCGTCTCCGTGTGAGAAGAGACCACTATTCAGTAGGCTGATGGTGTGATGTGAGGTGAGTTTAGAATTGCTTACAATTGAGATCTAGTTGTTCTAATGGCTTTATGCCGTCTATACAAAGGATAAGTTAACATTGACTGAATTGACCATCTGCCAATGTGTCAAAGCTCAATGATTCGAATTGAACTCATGATATCTTCATGAATAGGATTAATAGTAACTTTATGGCTTTTGAAATGTTATGTGTTAATATTCAATCGTCTCGTCTATGGGAATAGAATTAGAATTGTTCTAGTATGTTTGGTCCATTTTTGCATAGATTTGACTGCTTTTTGTGATACAGAATACAATGAATGTATTTGAGTTTCAGATTTGATCACAATAACGTTCTTAATTTGAGCAAAGAGGTAACAGAACAACCTACAAACTCCTTCTGCAAATATGAAACAAACTTTACGGTGAAACAACAAGCGTTAACCTTCCAAATTAAAAACCGTACTGAAAGCCATGGAACGGTCAAAATTAAACCCGTTATCAGGGTCAACTGCTGCAAAACTTTACCAACATAAATTCAGAAACTTAAACGATCGAATAAAATTTTATTGTTGCCTATCTTGCCCGGGTTGACCGGGGCAATTAGCCATTGTTATGCCCGGGTTTATGGACAAATACCCGGGCACGTGGCACTTCGGGCAGGCCTCTATGATTTATTGGCCTACGTGGCCTCGCTTGCCCATTGTTCGATATTTCCGAGATTTGATTTTGATATTCCGATTTAGATCGGATCGTGATGTTCAGGAGGTTATTTGTGGGTCATTTGTCACGGGGCTAGTGAATTGTGTGATTTATTTTGTTGGTTCCTTGTGTGATCGTAGTTTTGTGTCGGTGAAAGGAAATGGAGACAGAATGTTTTCATGCTCGATCATCATCAACAGCCTATAAGTGGCCAGTGCTGACCAAAGGCCTTTTCTCTCACGGAGAACGTTTGAGCAGTAATCACCACGCTTGCTCAATGTTGGTTGGCGATTTCAAATTTATAATTAAGAAGCCCGGGTTTCCTCACGATGTTTTCCTTTACCGTTTGTCAGTAGTGTCTAAATAATCTTAGAAAGTATATTTTGTAACTAGGAAAAGTCACTTTGCCGGTGGTAGGTTTCGAATCAGAAGTGAACGTCTTAAACCATAACAT